GTTAGAACTGGATATGGAACAACTGATTGGTTCAAAATTGGGAAACGAGTACAACAAGGCTGTGTATTATCCCCATGCTTATTTAATTTCAATGCAGAATACATCGTGTGAAAGGCCGGACTAGAGGAAGCCCAAGCCGGAATTAAGATTGTCAGAAAAAATATCAACAAGCTCCGATATGCAGATGATACCACTCTGATGGCAGAAAGTGAGGAGGAATTAAAGAACCTCTTAATGAGGGTGAAAGAGGAGAGTGAAAAAAATGATCTGAAGCTCAACATCAAAAAAACAAAGATCATGGCCACTGGTCCCATCACCTCCTGGGAAATAGAAGGGGAAGAAATGGAGGCAGTGACAGATTTTACGTTCTTGGGCTCCATGATCACTGCAAATGGTGAAAGCAGCCGCAAAATTAAAAGATGCCTGCTTCCTGGAAGGAAAGCAATGATAAAGCTAGACGGCACCTTAAAAAGCCACCCTTCCCCCCCGCCGCCTTAATTCAGTTTCTCTTTTGCTTGACTGCCTGTTCATTTTCAGTTTTGAGTCAGTCGCTCGCTCTCTCTCTCTCTCTCTCTCTCTCTCTCTCTCACACACACACACACACACACACACACACACATGGACGCGCACACACACTCCCTCCATTTTCTACAATTAAATACATTTAAATAAGCCTGATGAAGTCCTCAGTCTCTCGCACCTTTCTTTCTTCCCTCCTTCCCTTGCTTGCTCCTTTCCCCCCTCCTGCTTGTTTGCAGTCATTTCCGGAGGAAGCAGTCATTCAGAAGCCCTGGATTGGCTGATTGCCCAGGCTAATCCCCACCTGTAACCAATTAGGTTTATCTCTCCGATCTCTCTAACAGAACGGAGCATTTAGGAGTGCCCTGCTGCAACGAAGGAAGTAACAGGCCAGGTGGCAGCTTGCTCATTACCCCCAGGATTTTCACTTTTACCCCATTTGGGGTAATTCACCCCTGTTCCCCGACCTATGCTTTAGAGTAACATGGAAAATTTCTCTATCGATCTTGTAAACCCAAGAAAAGAGCACTCTCATGGTACATTAGAATGAGGACACTTCAGAGTTAATTTGCTAGAAAAGGAAGAAGAATTTATCAAACATGGAAGGCCATATCAGTTATAATTGGTTTTTCCAGAACACCTGGAGCTGTTACAGGAAGCATGAATTCATTTTTTAAAAGGCTAAACAAAGATGGAACTTTCTGAAAAAGATTTGTCCAACATAAATAGAAGGCCAATTATAAAAGGAAGAATGAAATGTATAGATTATTTAGAATAAAGGAACACTGTGTCAAAAATTCAGAGAATAAAAGAGGAAAAAATAGTTGTAAGAAATAAAAATTGGAAAACAATAGAAATATTATTATAAGCGCACACAGAAATGCAGAAAATGAAGCAAACACTGGTAATCCAGAGTTGGCTTTAGAGGGAATTACGATGAATAATTATTATTTAACTAAAAGAAATAGACTTTATAGTGTCAGAGTAAGTAAAGAATCTGTTAACTTAAATATATTTTATACTGCAACCCTATGTACTTCTACTCAGACGAAAGTAAATTCAACAGGACTTCCTCCCGAGACTGCAGTATTAATATGGTAAAATGCGGAAAGTTCTATAGCAAACTGAAAAAAGGGAAATGTTTCCTGCTTGGGAAACATATTACAAAGAACAAATTGTTACGTAAAAAAATTAAAGGATCTGTATTACACTGGAGCAAATAGAAAACAAAGCAGCAGTTTAACTGTGTGATAAACATGACAGCTCTGAAACTGAGATGAGAAATTCTGTTACCAGAAGTGGACAGACAGCAGTATCTGGTGCCTTTATTGCCTACTAGTAGTTTAATTTCTATAAATCTTTCCCCAAGTTCTTTGGTAAGAAATGTGTTAATGTGTTATTAAACTACAAGAACAATGCACCATAAAATGCAAGCAACACTGATAGTTGTGATCATAACTATTCATGAAGTTATAGCCTGAGCCAACAATGCAATGTGGCTGCAAAAAAAGCAAATGTGTTTTAAGGATGCATTAACAGTCTCCAAATCCCATTAGATATTAATCCCCTTTCATTCAACCCTGATTAGGCCTCATCTTGAGTACTGTGTCCAATTCTGGATGCAGCACTTTAAGAAGGATGTCAACAAATCGGAGCAAGTTCAGAGAAGGGCAACAAAGATGATCAGGGAACTGGAAACCAAGTTCTATGAGGAAACACTTAAAGAACTGGGCATATTAGCTTTGAGAAAAGAAGACTGAGGGGAAATATGGCAGCACTTTTCAAATACTTGAGAAGTAGTCATATAAACACCTTCACTGAGAATTTGGAGTCTATTTAAATACTTGAGAAGTAGTCATATAAACACCTTCACTGAGTTAGAATTTGGAGTCTGTTTTCCATCTCCTACTGTAGCTTCTCTATAGTCCTTCTTTACTTTCATCTCCATCACCATTAACGCATGATCCATTATTTTTATCACATTAATATTCGTATCTACTACTTTTGAAGGGCTGGACACCAGCCATTAACCACACTTAGACCCAGTGGAAGTAGTCATATAAACACCTTCACTGAGTTAGAATTTGGAGTCTGTTTTCCATCTCCTACTGTAGCTTCTCTATAGTCCTTCTTTACTTTCATCTCCATCACCATTAACGCATGATCCATTATTTTTATCACATTAATATTCGTATCTACTACTTTTGAAGGGCTGGACACCAGCCATTAACCACACTTAGACCCAGTGGTTAAAAGAAAAATGATATTTTCTGTATTACAATGTAACAATTTGGGAAATCGATCTAAACTTCAGTTCTTTTGCAGTTACAATTTAGCAGTCCGAACACACCCTCCTTTGTCAGCCCCTTCTCATCACTCTCCAAGCCCTCCAGCTACTCCTCCTTCAGGCTTCAGGATAGGCTGGCCACATGCACTAGTCAACCAATGGCCTTGTTTCCCTGTTACTAAGCGAAATGGACAGGGTTTCCATCACATATGTGCATGGTAGGATAGGCTCAGTTCACTCAATTTGCTCTATTGAGAGTTCAGGCTTGACTTGATTGAGCACCCACGTTTCTGCTTTTCTGGCTGTCTTTCATATCTGTATGTCAATCCTCCAACTTCACATTTCAAATGAATTGATTTTTGTCACTGTCTTTCTTCACTGTTTTTTTTACACATAGTATGGATTATTTTGACCTTGGTTTCCAGTGACACTCTTTGCTAACTCCAACTTCTCCCTTTTTTATTATTTCAAAAGGGAAAGGGATGTCTTTTGGAAAACATGTACACAACATGTCTGTAGAACTTTTGGTCCTTTATAGCTTTTCCTCCTCAGCTTGACTAAATCAAAGAAAGGGTCTGGGATGGGAACACAGCTTCCTAGTCTGCATTCTGGAAAGTGGGCATGACAACATCATGAGATCAGACGGTGTATAGTCTGTCCATGTTGTACCAACTCATAGCTTCACCATTTAATTCAATGATCCTTCAAAATAATTGGGTACAGAAGGACTACAGCCACATCCAAGCCATTCTTGCTTCTGCCTCCTCTCAGTAACCATAGAACACATTATGTGGTCATATTCTGGAATCCTGTAGCAATAGATAATTCTACATAAGGGAAGTTCCTGCTGGAATTTGTGTGCAGTATACGAATATTTAAATTCCTGTTTTTAAAAACCAGGAAATCCTATTTTTCAAAAAACCTCTGCTCACTATTCTTCACATATGTTGAAAAACAGTCCTGACAATTGCATTGTGTTTGAGTGAGAAGTGGTTAACTGATAAAAAAGAAGTCACATTCTAGGATTTTCCCTTGCTTGATGTCACTTTGTGAATGGTAGAGAGCACAAGAGGGTATCCTGTAGACCATCTTGATTGCTGCAATTGGTGTTGTCAACATTCAGGCTGCCCTTTGCTATGTAAAACATGGCATCCTTTTTCCTGCTGTCAATATTATCATCATAACCTTTATCAGCATAAAAAATCATGTGTACAGAAGCACAATATCTCACATTCATAAACCGGAGTTGTTGTTTTTTTTTAAAGAATTGAATGATGTTAAAGATAAATGCCTCTTGGTCCAAAAGTGGGGAACACATGCCCAGGCTCACTGCTTACGTTTACACACACACACACACACCACTGCTCCTTTGTGCAGCTGAAATGTATATTTTGAAAAATGTTTCCTTTAAAACAAGCTATGTGGAAAATAAGCATCTCAGCAGAATTAATCTCCCAGAAGTACAAATGCGATTTAGAACAAGGTGTTCTGTTTTAAAGCAGAAATATTTCAGAATCTTTTCAGAATGCAATCTTTTCCGCCACTATTGCTATGTAATCAAATTTGGCAGTGCTAACATACTACAGAAATCTTCACCCTTATACTCTGAAGAGCAGAAGTTGCAGAGTGCCTGGAGAACTTTTTTTTAATCAGGTTTTTTAAATCTTTGAGTTTTCACCTTGGAGTGCCAAATTATAGATCTATATTCTTGAATGTAAATGATGACTTTAGTGACTAAGGTCACACACTGCAATAGTTCAAAAAAAGTATTTTCCTCAAACTAACTGTACTGATTGATTTAGCTAGCAGATACTGAATTTTTTTTAACATACAATGGCAAATTTATATTCTGTCTTTTGCAAATTATCTGGATCCATTGATGTAATTTATATGGATTTACAGACTTACAGTTACACTTTTTTGTTGTTGTTGTTTAGTCATTAAGTCGTGTCCAACTCTTCGTGATGCCATGGACCAGAGCATGCCAGGCCCTCCTGACTTCCACTGCCTCTCGCAGTTTTGGCAAATTCATGATGGTTGCTTCGATGACACTGTCCAACCATCTCATCCTCTGTCGTCCCCTTCTCGTCTTGTCCTCAAACTTTCCCAACATCAGGGGCTTTTCCAGGGAGTCTTCTCTTCTCATGAGATGGCCAAAGTATTGGAGCCTCAGCTTCAGGATTTGTCCTTCCAGTGAGCACTCAGGGTTGATTTCCTTCACAATGGATAGGTTTCTTCTCCTTGCAGTCCAGGAGACTCACAAGAGCCTCCTCCAGCACCACAATTCAAAAGCATCAATTCTTCGGCGGTCAGCCTTCTTTATGGTCCAGCTCTCACTTTCATACATCACTTACTGGAAAAGACATAGCTTTGACTATGTGGACCTTTGTCGGCAAGGTGATGTCTCTGTTTTTTAAGATGCTGTCTAGGTTTCTTATTGCTTTCCTCCCAAAAAGCAGCAGCCATCTTTTAATTTTGTGGCTGCTGTCACCACCTGCGATGAACATGGAGCCCAAGAAAGTGAAATCTGTCACTGCCTCCATCTCTTTCCCTTCTATTTGGCAGGCGGTGTTCGGACCAGTGGCCATGATCTTAGTTTTTTTTTATGTCGAGCTTCAGACCATTTTTACACTTCTTACTATTGCAAAATGCAATTAAAACTAATCATCTCAGTTAACCTATAGGTACATGTGGTCAATGACCATACAATTAATTAATGAGAAATTATAATGCCATTGAATAAATAATATTACCTGATGTTGCAGAAGCCTGTTCAACTAGTCCAACTTTTACCACCTGAGGGGAGAAAAGGAGACTTATTTTACATAGAGTTACTAGCCCTGACACAAAAGCAAGAAAGTTGTTCTGAGCCATGAGCTGGTTTCTGCAACCCTTGAAAACAACTGATATGGACTGCAAGTGTTCTTTTAGGCAGATGTTCAAAAGGGCAGAGAAGTATTCCACAGTGAAGAGTAAATATAATCCTACTTGCTTTGGTAACCAGTTTTCCCTGTTCTGTTGTCTGAACTAAAGTAGGGAAACTAACACAGCACAACACCACACACAGAAAGAGTAGCTAACTTTTCTCAAGGTCATACATCCTTACGTGTGCATTCTATTGTCCATCCACATGTGCAGTATTGTGCCAAGCAGAGCTGAGTTAAGATTTCAGATGAAGGTTTTTCAGATGTGTTTATTCTCACTGTCAATGTAATCTAGTCATATTTCATTGCCTGTGAAGCTTCATAAGATTGCAATACTGTGATTGCATAGTTTGTGATCAATAAATGAAAAAAATATGCCTTTCAAAAATATTCTTAAAAGGTGCTAGTGTAGCAGAAGCAGATGGTGAGAATAACAACTGCAGAAAAGGACAAAAAAAGGGAACATTGGAAGGTGGCGATTGCTCTGTTTCTCCTACCTGATGAAAGCATTTTCCATGTCGAAAACATCTGAGGTGAAAATATTTTTTTTAAATCTGACCATAGATAATGAAAGGAACCTTTCCCCTCACTCTACTCATCTCCCAAATCTGGAGAATCAGAAGCTGCACATTTATCATCAGCCACTGTTCTCGCCTTATGCGGAACTACAAACTACTCTTTTGTTATTATTTTGGTTCCAAATGGGCTTAAAGGGTAATGAAAACAGAAGGCTGACAAAGGCTAAGATTCTTAGCTGCCTTGTTTTGATTCTAAACCTCCAGTCAGAAAGCAAACAACTTTCATGTTCTACTTCAAGTCCATCAATTGCTGACAAACTACAACTGTTATCCTCCAATTTTTCTAAAGTACCTGTATTTGATTAGATGGTGAGAGGAATTACGTCCTCAAAATAAGAAATTTAAAAAACCCTAGGAAACAAAAATAAATCAAAAGTCTTTGATTAGCATCGATAAAAATAAAGGGGAAAAACAGTCATTTGCAGCTGGTTTACTGACACGGTTGGCCAGAATGTCCCACCTTCCATCTTCATGACATCAATTTTAAGAAAAGGGGAAGGGGAAGGAGAAGAAAGTTAGCAAGCAAGAGGAGGAGTTCTCTTTTTGATGGTTTTCCTACTTCCTCTAATTCCCCTTCAAGGGAAGCCAAAGGAAGAAGAGACACATCTGCTTGTCTTCAAAGTTGTTCCTTTTTTTTTTAACTTGGAAAGAGAAGCAAAATAAACATAGCCACTTGTTTGTCTTTCTGACAGCCCAGGATATCTGCAATGCTCTATTTCAGCAACATATTTCAAATGGAACAATTCTCTCCATATCAGCTTTCTTCCCTGTCCAAATTTCACACCCGTACACAATAATTGGGGATACAATAGGACGAATGATCTTAGGTGACCTTGCTAGGAGTCAAGGCGGGTACATTCTGCCTTGGATGATCCAACTAGGATTCCAGGCTTTAAATGAAAGGGCACAGACAAAAAAAATTCGTATGTCTTTTATTTTTTCCATCTCTTCGCTCTTTCACGCGATGCCTGCCAAACTGCTTGAGAAATATCATGAAGGCTACTGTTGGCAGCCAATCAGAAAGCCACTGCTTAACACCTTCAGCATCAGCCTTTTTCCCCCTCGCCATGCAGTAACCTAGCTCACAGCCAACTGGAACTCCTCCCACTATCCTACAGCAAGCATTGTTTGGGAAACAAAACAGCTGCAAGCTCTAATGGCTGGAAAACACACTTCTCCCTAAAGAGGCACTGTGCCCAGAGATGTCCTGTTACACACTAGGTGAAACAAGCGAAATTGCTGACTAGTAAAGTCCCAGACTAAGGAAAGGATGATCTAGGAGAAGCAGGAACTGCAAGGCTCGTTGTGGGAAACACCCATGCAAAGCTATTCAAAGTTGTAGTCCAAGAAGCAGTCCAAACGGTCATGCAAAATCCAGGCAATCTGGAATAAGGGATTCAGACACACAGGAATGAGGCAGAGGCTATCAAACAAAGCTGGCAAAAATTATTTCCATCCACAAGATCTTCCATCACCAAACTGTGAATAGGCAGTTCTCAAGCTTCACTGCCTTCTAACAGGGTAAGCAGCTTGGACTCACTGCAGATTTATGTACCTACACCATCCAGTCAAAAAATAAGCATGGCACAGGTGTTGCGGATCCCTGAAAAAGCTCCTTCAACATGTATCTCTCTTGTCATATGCAGGTGTTGAAGCACCACTCCTGATATCCTCTCAAGGAGTTACGTGGAAGCTAAATCATGTCTCCCAGGAAACACTAGTGGTCTAAGATAATATCTAAAAGCTACCATATGAATACACAAAGCAAACTGTCAAAACCAACATTAACATTTTGCTCCCAAATCAACAATTCTCAAAGAAGCTGGATCTCTAAGGAAACAACGCCCACTTACAAAAGAGAGTGAGTTGTCATGCAAGCCCTTCTCTTACACAGACAGGTCCTGTATACTACTGCATGTTACTCACAAATCTTCCCCCACATGAATAGTCCGTATGCTGTTCAAAGTATTCCCCAGGAAATCATGTTCCAGAATCAGATTTGCTTCACCAGAAGCTAGTCTTCCACAAGTAGGGAGAGGTAGAAAACTACAATTTTCAGTCTGTAATTGCCATACTTTATTATCCACTTGAGTAAAAGGAACAAGGTGGGAGGAATGAAATGTAGAACTTCAGCATCAGAAAGCTGGAGTCATAATAATTTCTTGGGAAAAGAATTTCCAACGTAAGTTTCTTCAAAGAATATAACATGGACATTTCTTATCGAGTATAATCTTATTATGGCTAGAATCTGTCGTCAAATCGTCTCCGACTCTTCTTCGTACTAGCTAGTAAGTCTGATCTTAACTATCTCTGCCCTTCATTAGAAAACACTGAAAAAAAATCAAGAGTTGTAACACAGTTGTTATCTATTTGATTGACAACAAAAAAAAATCAAGAGTTGTAACACAGTTGTAATCTATTTGATTGACAACAATGTATTAGCATCTTTATCAAGATAGGCGGGATATAAATGGAATAAATAAATTTAAAAAAATTATCAATCTTTGAGTACAAGACCAGCAGTACGGAAGAGGCAACATAAGAAATGGTTTCCAAGGTGTCCATAATGGGCTGTCAACTGCATATGGGTAGTAAATAGCATGTAAACTATTTGCTACCCACAGCTGTAAAATGCAGGTCTCAAAAATTCTCAATTCACACAAGACATCACACAAATCAGCCCCCACTGTTGTGGTATATTTGCAAAAGGACCAGAAGTACAAAGGTAGTAAAATTTATCCACATTTATACAAAATAATTATTACTCACGCCAACAAAAGGGATAAACTTCTGGGCTGATTCTTCATCTGGGCTAGGGAGATCAGAAAATAATCATCATTTTTTGCAAATGCAAGAAACAAGCAATTATCTTATGTTTCTTTTAAACATGCAATGGTAACCAAAAACATGCGAGAATAGATTTCTCCGCCTGTCCTTATTGTTCTTTTACAAAATCGTGCAGAATGAAAATTAGTGAGTACGCACGTGCATGCATGCACACACGAGCATGGATACATGCATGCACAACCAGCAGGTTTGTTGTTACATTGACCTCTGTGTTTTTAGAAGGAAATTATTTAATACGGAAAAGACTACATCCAAGTAACTTCCTATTTCCAGAGATGACTAAAAGTGTCCTTATGACTTCACATCAAGGGAAGCTCTTCTTGCAAGTCCTCACTTGCAAATGCCAGTTTTTCATTCTTTTCAATTAACTCCAGAAGATATATGTTGCTGTTCAAAGAGACTATGATTTTAGAACACTTTGGCATTTAAAAGATCACAATTGTTCATCACAAAAAAATTATTTCATCCCCAACTTAGAAACTGTCCACCATTATGGGGTGAGAATTTCTGAATTCATGTTGAAAAAAAGCATCATCTAATGTCTAAATGTTATTTGTCATTTGGGGGATATGAATATGATGAACAGAGAAAAGTCTATTGGCAGTCCAAAAGTGTTAAAAATGCAGAGATCCTGGCCATCTCTTTAAATGATGGACATTTCAACAGTGCAAGCGGGTTCCTTTATTTATTCCTTCCTTCATTTACTCAAGGTTTTGATGCTGACATATAAAGCGCTCTACGATTTGGGGCCACATTACTTGTCGGAGCATCTGACCCCAGGGACATCTGCCCGACCTATCAGATCCTCTCAGATGAGGCTCCTTCAAGTGGTCACCTCAAGAGAGGTTTGAAAGTATTCCACTAGAGGCACAGCCTTTTCCATGGTGGCTCCAACCCTATGGATCAGCTTCTGGAGGAGTTATGCCTGGCCCCCTCCCTTTTGATAGAAGAAAACTTAAGACCTTTCTTTTTAGGAAGACTTTTCATACCAACCCAGATTGATGTTTTGCTCATCTCCTGTCCTGCTGCTTTTGTAAACTATTTTGGTGCCATCAGGTTTTTAGATTGTGAGTGTTTTTAAGTGTTTGGTTGTTTTGATATGGTTTTAACCTGCTGTTAAATTGCCCAGAACAGTGTGTTAGCACTAATGGGGAGGTATATAAATAAAACAATATATACTTAGCTGTTTAAAATGTGAGTGCAAACTGAATTCCTGTTCAAACCGAATCAATCTAAACCTATAAAGAAGTTAGTGGTTGTTAAAAATAGAGGAACCGCAGCACCAGAGTGTAAGAAAATTGCAGCCTGAAACAGAAATCCATTTCTTTCTGGTATATGGCTGCTCTGGAAAAAGGCTTAGCCTCTTTATGTTATTTTCCCCTTTACTGACCAATGAAAAAATATATACACCACAATCTTGGAGTTCTGCTTTACACCTCAGAATGTTGTGAAGAGTAAGGAGTATATGATGGGTCCAGGCTCTCTGAAGTTCCATATTCTCCCATACAAGCCTGTCCAGTTAGGCAGGCCTTATTCTGAGATCCACTATGCTTTGGACTCATGTCTTGTGGGAATATGTGTGAGGGCCTTTCTCACTGGCTACTCCCAAGATGAACATATCCCTTTCAAGTGACATATATTCAGTTGTTCTAAAAGAAGAAGAACTCCCATCCATCATTTTTGAATCATACAAACAAGTGATGTAGTGGAGCAAGGTTATGCAGAATTGATGGCTTGGAGAGTTTTGAGTATCAAGGATTATGATACAGTCTCCCTTCAAAACTTTCTTGTTATTTCTGAGACTATCTTAATTCTCACAGCAGCTGAGAGAGAAATTAATTTAGGAATCGGATATTGTTGCAAGTTGCTCCTGTTGTAATGCAAAATATTGGAAGAAAGTTTGGTCTTCAATGGGTTGCTTGTCAACACAATACTCTCTTCAGCCTCTCCCTTTTTATATCACTTATGAGTCACAAGGGACAAGGAGTGGGTAGGTGTTAGAAATAGCCACTGAAAGTGCTACTGGGAAGAAAATATGAGCAAGGTTATTATAGAAATTACAATAATAGCATAAAATGACATTATTGCAAGAGCAGGTGAACACCTAATATATGTAAACCAAAGCATGAATAAAGAGGATCAACTACAGCCAAAGAAAACCTATGAAACAAAAAAGATTTGTACAGGTAGCTATAGGTTCTGCCATGTTTCTAAGAAAGTCTTTACCAGGGGAAACAGTTCAGCATGTTTTTTTCAATTTTCACTGTATTTTCTTTTCATATTATCATTCTTAGAATTCAAAAATACCAAACACAGTCAATCAAAATTATAAAAACATTGACTGGTATTATATAACAGATACAAGTTTTAATGAAAAGCCTAAGTATCTATTAAACATTGGCACAGTATATATGCTGTTCCTAATCCTGCCGTTTTTTGTAGCTCTGATGGTATTATTTCTGAGGTCTGCAACTGCTTATAATACTGTATGAAATTTCTTGGTTTTGTTCCCAAAGCACTGATGACTACAGTGGCCACTGAAATGTGTTTCATCTACAAACAATATGTTTCGATTGCCAGATATTTTGTTAGTTTTTCAAATTCTTTATTTTCAACTCTGGCATCCCCTGGAATTACAATGTCAACGATCCAGACATTTCTTCATTCTATTACTACTATATCTGGTCTGTTATGTTCAAGGTGTCTTATCAGTAGGGATCCAGAAATCCCACAAGATCTTGACTTCCTATTTTCTGAAGCTTTCTCTACCTGATGTTCCCATGGGTTTTTGGAAACTGGCAAGTTATATTTTTGCATAATGACCAGTGCACTAATTTTGCCACTCTATCATGTCTAATTTTATAACTTTTGTACAATCTTTAGACATTCACGAGGTGTGACACAGTTTCATCCTTTTCTCCTCAGAGAAACATTTGCTGTTAGCACTAATTCCTTGAATCATAGCTTTCATCACATTGGTTTGAAGTGCTTGTTCTTGTGCAGCAAAAATAAAGCCACTGGTTTCTTTCTTAAGGATCCCCAGTTTGAATGACAATGGCTTTCCATCAATATTTCTCAGGTGTTGTACATGCAGTGGTTTATTTTCCAACTACAGTGGTGCCTCGCATAACGTTTTTAATTGGTTCCAAAAAAAAAAACCTTATGCGAAAAAAACTTTATGCGAAACACCATTTCCCATAGAGATGCATTGGAAACCGGTTAATCCGTTCCAATAGGCACGGATTGCCGTCCTTAAGCGAAAAAACCCATAGGAAACATCGTTAAACGATACAATGTATCCTCCATTGGAATGTATTGTAGCTGACTCAATAGGTTTCAATGGCTTTGCGAAGTCAATTTTTGCAAAATTAAGTGTGTCATAAAAGGGTCAAAAATGGTTTTAAATGCTTGGATTAGCTTCTGCACCATCTAAAACGGATGCAAAAGTTAATTTGGCTTTGATCTGACTTTTCGTTAATTAATGGTGAATTTTTTCCCCCCAACTTTTGACAGCTGTCAAAATCTGACAGCTCCATTAATTCCTATGGGGGAAGAAAAAATTCACAAAAAATTAATGAAGACTCAGCAACTGTTCTAAATTCTTGGGTTCGTTAGAGGACCCCCTAAGTTGTGTGCAAACCTGATTTGGCTTTGATCTGAACTTTCGTTAATTTTTTGTAAATTGTTTCCTCCCCCATAGGAAAGCATGGAGCTGTCAGATTTCGAAAGGTTCATTGGTTGCTATGGGCCAAAAAAAAAAAATTCACAAAAAATTAACGAAACGTCAGATCAAAGCCAAATCAGGTTTGCACATGACTTAAGGGGTCCTCTAACGAATCCAAGCATTTAGAACCATTTTTGACCCTTCTAAGACACTTTTTTAATTGAAAAAAAAAAACATTGTTAAGTGAAGCAGGGGACCTAAAATCGCATTCGTTATGCGAAGCATGGTCCCAAACTTCGCTAAGCGAAAATC